CCCAGCTGCACTACTGTACCCAAAATCCTATGTTTCGATCGACCCCAACTCCCGTGATCGAGAAATAACCTTCATTAAATGAGAGTGTCTTGAAAGATTTTGAAGCAAACTATTTCAATCCTAATATTATTGAAAATTAATAGTTTTGGGCTAAACGTTGCGAATTTTTTTTTTATCATTTGCGGATTTACCTGGGACATAAATAGATATTATCGTGCCACTTATAATCCCCCCTCCTTTTTGCCCTTCCACCCAGGAATTTACCTTCACGTACTGTTGCATCCAAATTAAACACAGAATGAAAATAAATAATTGAATTTGACCTTATAAAAAAATCTATGATTGCATCTCCAAAAGGGTTCGACGACTTACAGAAAAGAGCGACGATTTACAGAAAAGAACAGAAAAGGACCGAAAAGGACCAAAAAGAATAGAAAAGAACCGAAAAGGAAATCTATTTTTTTTTTGCAATCGAAGGAGACTAGCAAATTGCAAAATCATTTAAGTCTATAAATGAAAAGATACTTTCCAAAAAAACTTTCTTATTAGGTTTTGAAACCTTATATTGCGACAGGACTAACCTACAATTGAAAAATTACCCTCTTATTATTACAGGTAGGGTCGGATGTCTATCTTATATACTACAAATAGGGGCTATTCAAATGAATTTTGAAAAAGCTCATACATTAATTTATATGTTATATCTATTTAAGTATTTAACAATATCGACTGCATCTTTCATCCGCTTTCTCTTCCCTTTCCCAATCTGGTAGATTTTTTGCCTCTCCAATCTGTATAGACTTAATCAATTTTCTATCTCCATGTGCATTTCCTCACTTTTTTCATTCTCCTTAGATCTCTTGTTTAATTTCTCTTTCTACTTCATGCGTCTTACTATCTCTCTGGCACCCTTTCTCATTTAACTTATAAATATATAGACGAACTATTTACATATATATACATACATTAAATTGCGCACAGGTTTTTTTATTTGTTAATAATCTCCATGCACAAGTTATTGCTATTTAAAAAAAATATAATATGCATATGAACAAATATTTTAATAATAAGATTAAAATCCTTGATAAAAAATATAAATGATAATTCATCATACTGGTCCAATTTTGATTTTTTAACTTCGACCAGGCCTTGGAGAAGACATTTTTGAAGAAAGAACTAAAATAACACAGAAGTGTACTTTCTAGCTCATCTAGCCTTAAGCGTCATGCCAAGTATTGTCATTACTTAAAACCATTGGATATAAAAAAAAACCCATTAGATATCTTCTAAGAAACAATTTCGACATTTAAACGAAATCTTTTACTAATGATACTGGGAAGATCCATAACTAATTTACAGTTTTTGTAATCAAACCCAAGTAAGAAATGACCACCACAAAGGAACATAAATAGAACCATACACATAGTACATGCATGCAGGTTGTCAGATACCATCTCGCATATTAAAATCACATCAGGAAGAAATGACCTAATGTGTTCCTCTCCTAGTTATGAGTTTTGCTACAATATCCAAAATCAAAGTTGTGGAACATATTTTATTAGAATCGTTGGTAATCCATGCAATTAGTGTCTCCTCCATGAGAGTCTTGAACATTAAAACTAAATATTAAATAAACGACACTGCTAATTTTTAGTGTTTGGTACAGGTTGGCTATCACTGTACAACACAGTTTAACCATGGAAGTATTATATGTCAATATTATACTTCCATGGTTTAACATAGAACCCTATGGGAAAAACAGAGAACTATTTTTGTCAAAAAACACTGTCAAACATCCAAATATACTATCCACATTGATCTGTGTCCACACTTTTATAGTTTTAAGATAAAACGAAAAACGCAGAAAGGGAGAAAAATCAATATTTAAGGACAATTAATATTAAGGAGTTGATTTCCAATTAAGTTATCTTAACATATTTGTTGGTCGTATATGGCTGATCTATTTCCGCTAACATTTTCTTCAAATCTATAATACTTTTCAATAGTCAAAAATCAAGTTTACAGTTTATTTATTTAATGACAATTAGTCGCATCTGGGACTTACATGAATAATACAGTCTCTTGGTCACAGGTTGTTAATTCCTTCATTTTTTTTTTAAATTCAAAGACTAATTGGTAGTTTTATTTACAAACAACAACATTAGTTTATTAAAATGCTTATTGTATTTCGATACTATGCGAATAAAAGTCTTTGATGTGTTCATCAAAAGGCACATTTTGTTTTATGGTGTATAACAGGAGTGATTTATATTGTACAGTGTGCAAATGATTACTTGTACATATATACATTTTTTTTTTTTACTGAAAACCAAGTTATAATACTGTCTTTTTTTTTTGTCCACATATCCCTATATAAAATGTACAATCTAAGTTACAGTTATGCGTTCATTTATTACGAGGAATTGTTAACAATATCAAAATTTCGTGTGTATATAAATATGAAATAAATATATGTATGCTCTTTTCGGTTCCTTTCTGTTCTTTTTGGTCCTTTTCGGTCCTTTTCTGTTCTTTTCTGTAAATCGTCGCTCTTTTCTGTAAATCGTTGGACCGTCTCCAAAATATTGAGAAATAAAGTATAGGACATGCATATTAGATTGCACATTGCTAGAACACAATGAAATATCCGTACCAATGTTAAAATCGTAATACAAATAGACAGGAAATACGAAAAAAGTCCAAAAAGCTTTGCATAACAAATATATGCTCGAAACGTATACATATTTATAAAGGTGCATATCACGTATGTTTACATCATTGTTATTTTCTGACCTGAAGAATTCTCATAAAACTTATCTGGTGCATATATCTCCTCTACAAAGTTATATTCGTATTTAGCAGTCTGTGCCAAAAAAAAAAAGAACAACCACTTATAAAGTTACTATCTTACTTATACTCCGAGTTTGTATCAACTATGAAATATGTATAGATGACCTGCTCGTTATTGCCTTATTGAAAAATATCACTGAAAAGTATGTTAGTGTGGTCGACACGTTGCTAAATGCTGTATATCATATATGACAGAAAAGCAACATGAAATTTCATGAAAAGTATGCAGTTAAATGGTTACAAAATGTTGATTATAGCTACTCAAATGTTCCTAAACCGCATTTTTCTTCACCAGCAGACTTTACTATATAGATATAAGAAGATGTGGTAAGAGTGCCAATGAGACAACTCTCCATCCAAGTCAAAATATATAAAAGTAAAATATTATAGGTCAAAGTACGGACTTCAACACGGAGCCTTGGCTCACACCGAACAGCAAGCTATAAAGAGCCCCAAAAATTACTAGTGTAAAACAATTCAAACGGGAAAACCAACGGTCTAATCTATATAAAAAACGAGGTACGAGAAACACTTATGAACCACATCAACAAACGACAACTACTGAACATCAGATTCCTGACTTAGGACAGGTGCAAACAATTGCAGCGGGTTTAAACGTTTTAATGGTACCAAACATTCACCCTTATCTGAAATAACAGTGTAACATCACAACATAGAAAGACACACTATAAAATATCAATTGAAATGGCTTTATTCAATCAAAAGACATATTAACACCAGTGAACATACACTGAACAAATAAATTTGATCTATGATACAATGTAAATACAAAATAAATAAACTAAGGGAAGAATAATTAAAGTAACATGTTATACCGCTGTGAAATGTTAAACAATTTAAGAAAAACAATATGCTTGAACAAAAATATCAGCCATTTGCAATTACTTTAAACACAGGTAAATGAAAATAATTTTGTTGTTAGGTATACGTGTATAGTTCAAATGGAGAAAGGAAATATTTTTACAAAATAAATAACTTTGATGTTCATAGTACGAAGAAGCGAAAATTTAAAGTTATACCAAACACTTATCAAAGCTGGTATATAGACCAGATATAACCCTGAATAAGTAAACATTCAATAACAAAAAAGCATAACAATTAGTATCAACAGGTCAAATAAACAAGAAAGTACGATTTGAGAGTACTCGCAGTTACTGACAGCTAGTTAAAAGCCAAACACAATTAATAATAAAAAATCATAGCTATATACAGTAAGATTACTAAGTGTACGCACACTCGGTGGAGGAAAGGAGATTTTAACCCAAGATAAATTCCACTTCAATGGGCTTTATTTTTCGGAATTTTAGCAATTTCTGCTTATTATCGCGTGCATAGCGGAGAATTTGATCTCGCTGAGGATAGCATCCATGGCGTACTCAAATCCGTAATTGATTGAAATTATAAAACCCAACCCGAAATAATCCGATTGAGTTCACTAAAAAGATCAGAAATCATCCAGCATTTGCATATTTAGTTTAAGAGACCCTTAAGTATCAAGAAAATAAACAGATCATACCCTAAATTATCCGAATTTAACTTAGCATAAATCGAATAAAATTTACTTAGACGAACATGTGACAAAAGGGAATTTGCATAGAATTACAATACACGTACCCAAAATCTGACATTCTGACAAAAAGGCTACCCAAAATCTGCTTTCAAGACCATTGCAGACCCGAAAGACCAATGCCAACCCAAATTTCTTGAAACTCAAAAAAATGCCCAGAATTTGCCTCACATAAACTGAAGTTATCCCCCAACCCTCCCAGTTCACCCGAGAAGACAGCCATCACTCGTAACCAACCTAGGTTTACACATACATACCTAGACCTGACAGCAAAATAAAGCGTAATTAAACAATGATCTATTATTAATGCTTTCGTTCGATATAGGTGACTCGCGGCTTAACGTCAGCCCGAGAGCAAATATTTCATGTTTACGACAACAAATAAACCATATAAAAGCAAATCATTTCATAAGTGTAAACCTCATATAATCTACAGAAAATGGTTTAAATACAAGAAATTCTTACCTTGTTTATTTTATTTGTCCTTTCTCTCCGCTTCAGTGGTACCCCATTCCCGGTAGCGATGATACACAGTGTTCAATCAGCTGTGGTGAGGCATTCTTTAAAAAACAGCTATAACCTGTCAGCAACGGATTTTGTTGTTCAAAATACAATTATGTCTTAAAATTTAACCATCTTATTGGTTTTATGTATTATTATATAATAACTTATAGAACGGAATACAAAAGGACATGGGAGAGTGACAACGATCTAATGTGTACATTGTATTTGTTGTGAATTTAGAATTTGTCTAGTCGATGAGGTCCAGCAGGAAACACTTTATTGTGTAAGTAGTGTAGATGTAGAATATTATGTATGACGCTTCACTGATAGTAATACTAGTATAATATTCACGTTTACAATATCCGCTTTATGAAGCTTGACTGCCTTGAATAAACCATGATCCTTTCAAAATTCTAAAAGAGGAGTGCACAGGTAAGAGAAGAAATTTAAAAAAAAATCCTTATAAATACTGGATACACATACATATTTTGTTTAAATCTCGTCTCGTACCAGTGAGTTAGTGCACAAGACAACCATTGCTATTTAGACACAAATACGTAAGTTTTCATTAATATTGGTTGTTTGTTTGTGATTGTTTATTGTTTTATCCTGCATTCAGCGAACAATTGTACCTATAACAGGTATACAAATAAATTATTGCTTTATTTGTACGTTTAAAGTCTTCTGGTACTCCGCTTCCATATTGAGCAAACAGTAATGCTAATATTTCTTTTGCGTGTCAGTTCATTTTGGGGTCCTCTTCGCGGTCTGCGTTTAAACTATGTCGATTTCTTTGAAAAATCAGAGACAACTATTTGGATTGAAATAACTAAACCTTTAAGTACCGGGTGTAAAATAAAAGATAAAAACAATATATTCACATTGTCAGACATATATAATGTATTTGTACGCGCTTTTCTTCCTGTTTCTAAAGCTCGTACAAATAAATTTTATATTTCCGACAATGTACATAGATATTAAAATATAAATTTTTATTTCAATTTTATTTAATTTGTTGGAAAACGCAATCTGAGTTTAATTCAGATCTATCGTTAATAGACCAGTTTCACATAAGCGACTCATCAACCCTGATCTCGAAATCATATGCGCGTTTTAGTTTAAATCCCGCGATAATTATAACTCGAATAATTCAAGCCCTTTCCGTGTCCGATTATCTCCCACACGAGGGCTTGAACTCCTTATGATCATTGGCCGCGTCGCCTGCTCTCTGTGAGAGAGAGCCAATCGGTGGCGATCAGGATAATGAGTCTGCGCAACTGTCTTGTAATTGTCTTACCAATCACGTGTGTTCAATTAACACAAATCCGATAATAATTAATTAACCTCAATTAACATCAGTTTACATCATTTAACATCAATTAACATCCGGAACTCCTCCTTCTTTAGCTGCCAACTTAAATAAAAATTCCCGTATTGCATAGCGGTGTGAATTTTCCGGTTGACGGTCTTTATCGAGGAAGACGTTCAGGCGTTAATGTAGCCTTCGTAGATCAGCGGAATATAACGACTGAATTATTCGGGTTACGATAATTAACGATATCATACGTGACAGGGGGCTATCCAATTTACCCTTATATTTGACAACACAATTATAACAAGTTGCTTTTTTTTTTTAAAAAGACAATACGTGAACCGTAGAACTTTTTTATCCTAATTATTAATTAACTAAATCAAAAATTAATATCTCAGTGTTTTCATGGCCATGTATGTGCAGGATGATATTTTCTTTTTATTGTAAATCACGACAATTTGAAAGTGGTGTTAAATATAAATTGAGGAGAAAATAAATAGGGAAGGTGTCCATGGGACACAGATGATGCACCCGCTTGCATATCATATAAAGTTATAAAGGGACATAACTAAAGAACGGTAAAAGTGACACTACTCAAATTTGTAGTTGATCTGACTTTTGTGGTATTATGTATTATGTATAAGTCTTTCAACATTTGGTTGAGGCAAACTTCAGTTATAGAACGGAATCTTTTACGTTTGTATAGGGGCATAACTCTAGAACAGTAAACGTGACACCACCAAAATTTCAACTTGATCTGTGATTTGGAGGTAATAAACATTGTGTATAAGTCTCATAATATTTTGTTGAGGAAAACTAAAGTTATAGAACGGAAACGAAAAATTCAGCAATTTTTCATTTGAAAAGGGGCATAACTCTAGAACAGATAAAGTGACGCCACCAAAATTCAAACGTAATCTGTATTTTGTGGTAATAAGCATTATTTATAAGTTTCATAACATTTGGTAGAGGCAAATTATAGTAAGAGCAATTCAAAAATTCATAAAATTAATCTAAGACATAATTAATAAGGCATTGCGAACTGGTCAGAAAGGAGAAATTAATGTTCTTTACCGACCAATCATCAATAAGTGTAACTCTCTAACGAGACGCATTGAGAGATTGCTTGGTTTAATTATAAAACCATTATTGAAGAGGTTTAACTTTTACATTCGAATAGTTTTATAAAAAGACCATAAACCCACTTATTCATGGTATGGTATCAATATTTCTGACCTGACACTACGTACTTTTTTTTGCTTAATTCTTTAGAATTTAATATGCAATGTTTCGGGTTCTTTCGGGAGTATTCCCAGGTAAACCCTCATCAGAGGCCGACCTTTATGTATTTATTTCATATCTAATATCATAGATAGATGTTTGTCTGTTTCATAACAGTTTTTTTTTAAATTTATTAACTACACGTGCATATAGGTCTACGTTGTAGCTAGTCTTTTTACAGACTGAAGAAACTGACCAAGTTGATCAGCACTTTTGTTTAATTAATGAATAGACTTATTGTCTTTATTTTTATCACTAATTACTTCAACATAAGTCTACACGGGATATAGTAAAGATAGTATTTATCAATGTCATATTGTTGAATTCAGGGTATACTGGCGTGTTTGTTTTATCATCTATATGATAATATACAAAAGTCTCCATGTTTAGCATTTGAAGAAATATGTGTAGGTACCCTGCCGGGTAGAAACATGGACATATAAGAATTCGTCGGTTATCTCAGATACGTGATCTATTGAAATAAATCGGTGTCATGTCTTTATTACAACTGTTTCACAGTATACACTATATTATAAAGCCTCCTGTGGAGGGGTTCTTCGACTTAATGATTAATTATCATGTCGCTAATATTCTTATTGTTTTTGAAACCCATATCTGGTTTAGATTTAAATATTTGTTTGGCAATCGGATCTTTCCGAATTATATACCAGAACTTTTTTATAATCTTTTTAAGATATTCAGCATTCTAATGATACGTTGTAATGAACATATTTCTGCCTGTTATTTTATTTTATTCTTATATTGTTTCTTCCGAAGTTTTAACTGTCTATCTTCGTGACGAAATTTTTGTGCAAAATTTGACTGACAATTTATTTCGTGTATCCCCGTCTAGATAATTTATCTATAAACAGTTTAATACGTTTATTAAATTCGTCCTTATTGCGGTGAACCGTTTTCCTTTAAACAATACAACATATAAGAATTTCATAGTATGAGTATTTATTTCAAACGTGAATTTCAGCAGGTTATGTTTCTGATTTGCTATTTCAAATAGTTGTTTAATTTGCTCACTGCTTCCATTAAATATAATAAAGCCCTCATCTCTCATTCGTTTATGAAATTTAATATTATCTTTGTATGGATATTGTTCTATAATATTATTTATATGGTCAAATATAGCAATATCAGATATTTCCGGGGAAGCAACTCCGCCCATTGAAACGCCAACAATTTGTTTATATGCATTTTCATTAAAAGTAAACTCATTTTTTGTCAGTAAAATACTGAGAATATCAAGTAGACTTTCTGTAGATGGTCTTTTAATATCATATTCTTGATTTACATGGTCTGTAAGCGTATTTTCTATAGCCGTTTTAATTTCATTGAAATTAAGATTAGTATATAACGATGTTATATCATAGGAAACAAGTAAATCACTCTGTTCCGTGTGAGTATTTTCTATGTATCTGATAAAATCGCTAGTATCTGATAGATATGTATCTTGTGTCTTCACCAGTGGAAGAAGAAAATAATCTAGGTATTTTCCAATATTTAGTAGTGGTCCCGAGCATTGGCTAATAATCGGTCGACCTGGTACATGTACTTTTTCTTTATTCATACATTTATTTTGGTACATTTCTAATGTTTCCGTACTAAGTTTGTGAATCTTAGGAAGGAAGTAGGCTTTTGGAGTTTTAAATGTTTTACCTTCTTCTCGTAAGAATTTGAAAGACATTTCGTCTATTTCATCATTTTCTTCCATACGGTATACCATTTTATTGACTATTTTTCTGGTGTTTTCTATGTCAATATTTATTATTTTAGTATAGTGAATGCCGTCATTTAATTGGGATTCGCCTTCAATAAGATAACACGTTTATTCTGTATTACAGTTGTGTTATTTTTATCGGCTTTATGAATACATATAGTATTGTCGATTTTTAATTTCTGTATGCATTCACGTTCCGATTTAGACATATTGTATTTAATCTTCGGCATATATTTTGATAGTTCGTGTTTTGTGTAGAAAATGTATTTTTCTATTGAATTATCGCCAATGATTGGAACTTGAAAGTTAGACTTAATTTTGAAAGGGTGGTTTTTAGTTGCTATGCGTACATTAGTACCGAAATAATATTCCAGTCGCAACGACCTCTCAAATGATTGAAAATCTTTTATCAATTGTCTGTGGTTACATTTGTTTGTAGGAACAAATTTTAAACCTTTTGCTATAACTTTAAATTCAGTTTCAGTTATATCTCTTTTAGATAAGTTAAGGACGAACTCTTTATGAAAGTTTAGGTCCCGTTTCTTATTTTCAATAGCAAGATTGTGTTTAAATCTTATATGCTTATTCTTTGTTTTATTTCTTTTCTTGTTTTTATAATATCTTCTAGTATGACCCATGATTATCAATGGTGTCAGTGATCAATGGCAGAATTGCGCTTTGTTGAAATAAAGGTCATTATTAGAGCCTTATGTAAATTGAATAATAGATGATAATTATTACGGCAACCAATCGAATTCTTCGATTTGGGAATATAGGCGTAGCCACTGGTAGATAGGCATACACTTCTTATTTCTGTATTGGTGTTATTATTTATATTCCCTTAGGAATATTAACTAGTGACTTCTTTTAATTTTCACTGCCATGTATTTCATTTGTATTTATTAAAACACTAATTGTAAGCTTTCTCAATGAGATACACTGATGAATGATTTATTGTTTG